GGTGCAGCTCTGCCGCCGGCGGAGGACGAGCGAGGGGCTCCCAGCCGCCGTGCTCCTGCACTCACTGGGGAGCTGCGGCACCTTGTCCCGCTGAACCTCCCTCTGTGCTGTCCTTCCTGTCCCGGAGGTTCGCGGTCGAGCCTGAGTTGCAGGTGTTTGGCCGCTGTGCTGGACCACCCAAAAGATAAAGATATTCGTGGTAGCAGCATGTAATCAAAACTCACCTAATTATTACACTATCATATGTATTCCATCACTACCTGATATGGTATTACCTTCTATCCCAGTGAGAAATGCAGGCTCTGCTTGTCCCTTTCACCTTCCAAAATTTATAAAAGTTGTGTGGCTGAGAAAATAGTTACACAGATTTTTAGCAACAGAAGGTACTGGGCCAGTACAAGAGTGATGTATCTTAGGTTAAATGTACACAGCTTTGTTTCCAGGTTGAATATAAGATCCAAATTAACCTGGTGTAGTCTTGGAAGTAAACTGTCACATCTGGGTGCTTCTGAGGCTCCTTCTCTGACTCTGCTCCCTCAAAGCACTTGTGAAGCACTTAGTGTATAACTAACCTCACATCTTTTACATATCTGTGGGTAATTAGTGGCTGAGATGTTACAGAGGTTGCTGTGCAGTTCCTCGTAGCAAATAGGCTGCTTTTACTCTTTTGCTTTTATTCTCAAACTCAAGGACACTTTACCTAAATGTACTACCTGCAGGCAGTGCACTTAGTGCGTAAGCTGATGTATTATTAGTCCTTTTGTTCTCTCCCATTGCTATGTATTTTCAAAGTCAGTTTTTCCAGTAATTTTTCTTTAAGTGACTTAAGGCTTATCTTTACTGCAAAACAGACTTCAGGATGAGAGATGTGCTTGAATAAATACAGATAAACCTCCTTTCTTGACTTGCTGTCTTGAAGAAAGTCAACTACAGCAGCGTATAGCAGCTGCAGAGCTATGCTGACAGGCAGCATGTGCAGCTTCACGCTTCTCTTGCCATGTTCTCTCTGGTTGTGTTACTCTGAGGGGAGTTCTCCCAAGGATAGATCACAGCACAGCTAATTTGAGACTTGGCTTTGCTTTCAAGCAGTTGTGTTCTCTTTCAGATATGCCCTTTAACAGCTGCTTTATCATCGACCTAACTTGGAAATTAATCAAGCACTAAATCCAGCGTTGTGCCTCACGATGTTGTGGGAAACAGGCTTCAGGCTCCCTGCTGACTCTGTAGGTCTTGCCTAGGTCACTTCACTCAAGAGGATCGGTTCCTGCCTTGTTTTTTCCCACATCCCCTGGAGTGTCTCTTCTTAAACTGAACTAAGTTGAAATCTTTGTACTATAATCTTGTGTTAGTGTCTCTTTTGTCTTTCTTATAGCAGAACTTCATTTTTTCCCAATGCTTAATAGGCACTCTAGTTCAATATTTGCATGCTTACAGTTGATGGTTTTTTTCCTGTTCTGTCAGCTGGATGCATTCTACTGTTGCTACAGGCCTTGGATTCTCCCTTGTTAATGCCTGCTTCTTCTTAGCCACATCTTCTCTAGATAAGGAATGTGGATGGTGATTTCTCCTCACCCCTAAGTCTCTTGCAGCCCATTTTGATGAAAGCTACTGCTTATGATGCAGTAAAAAAAAAAAAAGAGGCTTCACTCCCAAGGTCTTTATATTTCATGACTTTTAGTGATGACAGAAACTTAGTCTCAGCTCTCAGGAGTCCCAGGACACTGTAACTCTCAGGACTTACAAGAAAAGCCTTAAACTAGTATCATAGTAGGGAAAAAAGGTGGGAAGATCTTCGTAGAAAATCAGGCTTACCAAGGTACTGTGCTCTTTGATTCAAGCTAACTTGAATGTACCAATATTAATGAAGTTAAGGATCTGTCTAAAAGTGTTTACCGTTTTTAGCATCCAATTCTGATCTAGGCAAAAGTTCCATATAAACAATTGAGGAATTTTCCTAAGCAGAATTAAAGAGCTGTATTCAGGCAATGTTTTCTATGTATTCAAATGACTGGTCAAGTAGAAGCTTGTCTCCAAGATATTTTTTCTGGGTTTTTCAAAAAGAAGAAAGCTTTACAAGAGCCAGGATTATTAAACTGAACAGAAAAGCTAATGTTTTTCTTTCTGAGTTAGTGATACCATCAGATGGCCATGAGCATGCGCTTGCTGTTGTTTGAGCATCAAATACCATTTATCTAAACTGAGGAGGATAATTTATTGATTGACTAAAGTGGAATGGAAAGTGGAATTGAAAGCATTCACCCAAGATTTATTTTAGACAGATCTGAACAGCCATAATATTAAGAGGAAAAACCAAAGAGCTTACTTTTGTTATTCTCCCCATCCTGCCCCATACAGCTCTTCTGATGTGAAAGATGTGACTGTTCGGTTCAGAAACGAACAGCGTCTTTTATAGTTATGTACAAGTAGTATCATCACTTCTTGGGCAATCTTTGCCTTCATGAAAGCACATGGAATAGGATCTAAGCGCACTCATCAGCTCCATTAAAATGCATGGGTAAAATGTTAGAAATTCTTCCACCCAGCTACTGGAAATGTCACACCAGATATGAAATGAAATTAGTTATCAGTATGCTTCACGTCTTTGGTAACTTTAACCTGTTCTTGCTTCACAGAACTGCTTCTCTCCTGCAGCAAGATCACTGTGTGGTACCAGAAGCTCATAGAATTTGAAAGTCAGCAGGCCACTTAAAGTCATCTAAACTTACTGTAGATAGCAAAGTATTTCCCCATATCATTGTATGCCCTTAGATTTAAGGAAATTTTCTTGATGTGAATGCGATTTTAGGGGTTAAAGATGCAATATCATATGCTTGCTCTGCTTTTGTTCTCCCCTAGTCATCCACTTCTGTTTCTTCCTGTATCCCTTATACCGATATGAATCACTATGGCCGCTCTGATGTTGCATTCCTATGTACTTGGCTTTGCAGAACAACCTGGGCAGCAATAATCCTCTGCTTGGGACAGTGTTTCATTTTTCTCTTTTGCAGGTGTCAGATATTCATATCAGTAGATTTCAGGATCCTAAACGAACTTCTGACTTCGAAAAATTCTGTTCTGAAACCATTGGTACAATTCAGCCAGCACTTGTTCTAGCAACAGGTGGGTGAGCAATTCAAAAGTGTCGATTTCCTGTTGAATGTGCTGTCAAAAGAAGAGCAAATAAGCAAAATTCTAGGATCTCAGGAGAGAACTTTAAAGCCTTAAGGTATCTTAAGCAAAGGAAATGGCATTGCAGCTGAAGATAGACTGCTAGAAGCAAAGATAATAACTTCTCAACTCAAGAGAATTAGGTTTTTTCCATGTTTTGAGGCTGATGGTGAATTTAGTGTGTATTATACGTAACAAAGACAATTACACAATACAGCTATTGTTTTCCCAATCTTGTAGTTATATCTTAGTCCTTGCTCGCAGCTGCCTTCCTTCTTGTCCTTCTGGTTGCAATTCTCTATCACTCTTATTTGAAATTACAAAAGTAAGCAATGTCTCTGATTAGTCATTAAGAGCCAGTTCCTCTGTCAGAACAATCCCTGCTTATTTTTAGGAAATTCACCTGTGAACTAACGTAAAATTTCATTGCTGGTTTTCCTTTGAACGTATCATACCAAGTCAGGTGAAAGAAGCCTTGTCATTTAATCTGATAGCTTGCTATTGCTATTCAAATGGATTGTTTTGTCAAGCAAATCAAAAAGACTTTGAGCTATTACTATATGCAATGCTTTAGAATCTTAATGCTAGACCTAGACTTCTGTTTCTACAGAGAGTTACTTACCTGCTGCTTGCTTTTTAAGTTAGAGTTCAGAAATAGTTAGCATTATCTTTTAACTAGCAATGTAGGGAGGCATTCCCATATGGACAGAAGTGGGAATGGTTTGAACTTTATCTGGAGCTTGAGGGGATTCAGAAGGTGTGAAATTAAACAAAGCTTCTGTGACTGGTATCTTCGGGTATAATGAATGCATAGCAACTTTCTTTACTTTGGTACAGTATTAGGAAAAGTGCTGCAGTGAGGCGGCTGACAGATGTTTGAACAGGCTGCCACATCTGCATTAGAAAGCATTTACCCTTGCAGTAACCTGTTGGACCAGATGATAGGAACATCCAGATTGCACACAGGAGACCTGCAGCCACTTACATGGGAAGGCTTGGATTGCTTGCCTGCCTAGTTATAGTATTTGTGTGAACTGTATAGGCCTCTGGTTATATCTCACCTTTGTACCTTTCAGGTGACCTGACAGATGCTAAGGCAAGAGATAAACTGGGATCTGGGCAGGAAGAAGTGGAATGGAAAACTTATCAGTCAATTCTGAAGAGATCAAGGGTCATGGAAAAAACCAAGTGGATAGACATCAAAGGGAATCATGGTAAGAAGGAAATGAAACACCTCTCTCTCCCTGTGATTACAGAAGTGATTTAAGCAAATTAGAATATAGAGGTAAAGTATTAGTCCTTGCCAGTGTATTAGTAGTGGTTGTGAGTCAGCGGAAGGGCTTGCTATCCATGTGTCTGCTCTTCTGAGGGCACACTTTGTTTGCAAGCACTTACTGGAATTCTTGTACCAGGGAAGTAAGAGTCTCCATTTATTGCTTTTGCCGGGCAAGTGGTAGAACTTCAGATGGTAGTTTCCAGGTCATTAGTTTATATTCCCCATCTTTTAGTGGAAGGGCAAACTGTAACCTTACCCTACTGAAGAAATTGTTTCCATTTACTTTTCATAGACCACCCCCACAGGTTTAAGTTAAAAAGTATCACACATTCAGCAATTAAAGGAAGTTTGGTTTCTTTTGAACAGAAAGAACTGGTGGAAGTTTGTACATATCATAGTTGTTGCTACATTCTAAGCAATCAAATACAAGCTAACAACCTCATAGGCTGTATAAGCCAGCTGTTACAGGAAGGGCAAAACTAGAAAGCCTAGCACTGGGGGGGGAGGGAAAAAGTGCATGCTTTGTCATATACAGCCCATCTATGATATTTTGCTCCTATTTCCCTATCGGGCTTCTGTTACCAGACTGAGTTAGGTCTTACTTATAGAGAATGCACTGAATCCAAAAAGCTTCTGAAAAGCTTGATGGCCAAAGTGAACACATGTGGTTAGCTTTTAAGCAGCAAATGACAATTTACGTTCCCACAACTTTATCTTTGAATTGAAACTTAAATGAGAAAACTATTCCCCCTAGTCGACTGCATCAAGTATATAATATCTTCTGTGCACAGTTAGACAGTCTGCTTCTCAATTATGCATTTAAAAAAATAGCTCTTCAGTGCCTGCTGAGACTGCTTTATCTTAGAATTAGAAACTAAAACACAGAGGCCAGTGATCAAATTGATTTGAAAGTGCTGATTTCCTTTTTCTCTCTCTTATAGATTCATTCAACATTCCACACCTCGATAGCGTTCAGAATTATTACAGGTACTTTTAATTACCATACAGCTGCTGTTATAGTCAAGGTCAAACTTGCGAAACAATATTCTGTTTTAACTTATCACATACATGATTTTTCACTGACTGTCCTATAGTCCAGGATCATATTTGCTATTCCATCTCTTTCATTGTCAGTTAGCAGAGCAGAATAGATTGAGAAAATAGAGGATTCTTTGCGCAAACTTCTTATCTCTTATCCCTGTGTGTTTTGTAACTGAATCTATTGTAAATCTGCCTGTGTCTCGAAAATGTTCTGTGCATCATGTTTCCTCAGAGCAGTTGTGTAAATGTATTTCTGTAAAGCCAGTGTTCCCAAAGAATGCTTTTCCTCCTCAGAATAGATTTAAAAAGAAAAAGAAAGCAAAAGAAAACTTCACTTTTTAAAATGTTCTTTCTGCATGCCCAAAAGGGCTTTTCATGTCATATGGGTCTAGATTTTATCTGAGCCATTTCTTCACATCTGAGTCATTTTAGAAAACTGAAAGTAGAGAAGAAGAAGACAGAAGATAATAATGATAGGTGGATGAATCTTCTCGAGATTTAAATGTGAAGATAGGTGAAAAAAAGCAGGTCCTGCTTGGCCAACCTGATCTCCTTCTATGACCAGGTGACCTGCCTAGTGGATAAGGAAAAGGCTGTGGATTGTGTCTACCTGGACTTTACTAAAGCCTTTGACACCGCCTCCTAGAGAAGCTGGCTGGGCATGGCTTGGACAGGTTTACTCTCCACTGGGAAAAAACTGTCTGGATGGCTGAGCACAGAGAGTTGTGGTGAATGGAGCTAAATCCAGTTGTAACCAGTCACAAGTGGTGTTCCCCAGGGCTCGGTTTTGGGTCCAGTCTTGTTTAATATGTTTATCAATGATCTGGATGAGGGATTGAGTGCTCCCTCAGTAAGTTTGCAGGTGACACCAAACTGGGCAGGAGTGCTGATCTACTCAAGGATCGGAAGGCTCTGCAGAGGGACCTGGATAGGCTGGATTGATGGGCCAGGGTTGACTGTATGAGGTTCAACAAGGCCAAGTGCCAGGTCCTGCACTTGGGTCACAAGAACTCCATGCAGTGCTACAGGTTTGGAGATGAGTGGCTGGAGCTGCCAGGCAGAAAAGGACCTGGGGTTCCTTGTTGACAGCCGACTGAACATGAGCCAGCACTGTGCCCAGGTGGCCAAGGCCAATGGCATCTTGGCCTGTATCAGAAATAGTGTGGCCAGCAGGAGCAGGGAAGTGATCCTTCCCCTGTACTTGGCACTGGTGAAGCTGCATCTTAAATACTGTTTGCAGTTTTTGGCCCCTCACTACAAAAAGGACATTGAGGCACTGGGACATGCCCAGAGAAGGGCAATGAAGCTGGTGAAGGGTCTGGAGCACAAGTCTTGTGAGAAGTGGCTGACGGAACTGATATTGTTTAGTTTGTAGAAGAGGAGGCTGAGAGGAGACCTTATCGCCCACTACAACCATTTGAAAGGAAGTTGTAGTGAGGTGGGTGTTGGTCTCTTCTTCCAGGTAACAAGTGATAGGATGAGAGGAAATGGCCTCAAGTTGCACCAGTGGAAGTTTAGATTGGATATTAGTAACTCTTTACTGAAAGAATTGGAACAGGGTGCCCAGGGAAGTGGTTGAGTCACCATCCCTGGAGGTGTTCAAAAAGCACATGGATGTGAGACTTGAGGATATTTTTTAGTGAGCATGGTGGTGTTGGGTTAACAGTTGGACTTGATGATCTTAGTGGTCATTTAAACCTTAATGATTCTGTGATTCTATGAAACTTTCCCTTCTTCAGCTGACTCTTTCACTTGTATGTTGTAAAGGAAGCCTTAGTGGTAACTCATGTTTAACTTCTCAATTTCTCCTGCCCTTCACACCTGAACACAAAATCTTGTCTCATAATTTTGGTAGTGCTTTCAGCTTTGACTCTTTGGAACTGGAGGAGGACTTGGAAACCTAAATTCTACTTTAACTCAGGCTCTTAAGCCATCCACTTTGCAATAAGAACACAGACTAAACATCTGATAGTTCAGTTTGCTTCAGTTCCCTGGGGCCCAGACATCTTTTCCCCTAAGTTCTGTGGGGTAGGATCCTACAGAAGCTGCATTTGCAGGAGAATATGGAATTCACATGTGGATTTACTACGAGGTGATGAATGTATGGTGCTAACAAGGCCTTTGGGTGCTAGTGCAGTGCACGTCCCGATATCTTTTGCCACAGTTGTGGCTATATGACAATCTGGTATCAGTCTTCCACTCTAGTTTAAGGCTGCTGTCAGAGGTCCTAGTGACAGACAAGGGGAGATGGAGTACCAGTGAATCTGCCAGATCATCCTTAAATTGTTGTTTGGCCTGGACAACCTTAGTGTTTGAAGAAATTTATTGGTTACCTGCCTCTAGTCCATACTCAAAAGGTACTGGTACCAAAACAGATGGGAAAGGATTAGGGTGAAATTTCAAAGCAATTCAGCCAACCTAAGAACTTCCAAGTGAAATTCTGAGTCAGGTCAAAAAGTGTTTGCTTATTAATTAACAGTCTCTTGCTAAACAAAGGTGTTCTCATAATGGTTTTTGCTTCATTATCGTTTGTCATCATAGCAAAATAAAGAGACTTTAATGAGAAATTCAGATACCAACAATAAACACAAGACAGTCATTTTTTTTCCTTTGCAGATCTCCTTTAATTAAGACTGGTGTAAGATCCTGCTGTCCTGTCATCTTGCCTATTTGTTTTGCCTCGTTTATGCTGCTGGCCTATCATTTATCCACAGAAAAAGTACCACGTTGCT